GGGTTTTTCCTTCTTGTTGGAATATTGTCGCTTTGCTATCAAGTGATATCAAAAACATGGAGAAAGCCATAATCCATCATATCCTTAAATATTTGGAAGGCTTTAACATCTTGAGCGATCATCAATATGGCTTTCAGAAACAAAGATCAACAGGCGACCTTCTACCGTATGTCACCCACATTTGGAATAACGCAATCGAGGAACATGGAGAGTCAAGAGCTGTTGCGCTTGATATTTCTAAGGCCTTTGACCGTGTATGGCATGAGGGTTTGCTGGCCAAACTTCGATGCTACGGTTTGTTGGATCATTTTGTGTATAGCTCTTCAGCTTCCTGAAAGAACGCTCCCTGCAAGTGGCCGTCTATGGATATCTCTCTTTCACTATCAACGCTGGTGTTCCCCAGGGATCCATATTGTCTCCAACACTTTTGTCTCTAGACTTATTGTCTATCAATGACTTATTGGAAAAAACCAAGAAGCCAACAAATTGCTTTGCTGACGACAGCACACTTGTCTCGTAATTTCTAATTGGGGTAAAAGTAATCAGGTTCAATTCAATGCCACAAAAACCCTAGCATCGGTTTTCTTCAAAAAGGTCAGGTCAGACAATTTCACTTTCTGCTTCGATAAGTTTGTTGGGGAGTTAAAATGGACACCAATATGTCTTGGCACAATCATATCGCTGGAATTGCAAAGGCTGCTTCTCGAAAGCTTGGAACACTGTTTCGAACCAGAAAACCTCAGCAACTTTTGATACTTTATAAAGCTCAGATCAGACCTTCTTTGGAGTATTGTTCTCATGTTTAGAGCTTCGCCCCTAAGCTTACCCTGAAAGTGCTGGATTCCAACCAGAAAAGAGCCATCCGCCTGATTGGAGATGCGAACATCACGTGCAACCTTGATAGCCTGGAACATCGAAGAAAGGTTGCAGATTTGTCTCCCTTCTTTCACTTTCACGGGAAATGTTGATTCCACCAAGAGCGGTTGATATCAGAAATACGCTTTTGAGGTTCAACTCTGTACACCTTGATGTTCACTGTTTTAGAACTAAATTCGGAAAACTGCGTTTATGTATAATAAACTTCCTGAGAACTTTTTTCCAAATGAATTCAATCTTCAGCGCTTCAAATCCAACGTGAATCGCTACTTTCGCACACGCACCGCGAGCGCCTTAAAGATTTTCCTAGAGTGCTTGTGTTTCGTTCTTAGAAAAAAAAAGGATTGCGTTGACGCTAGCGCCACCTTGCGGCACTGGTCTATCGAATAAACTATCTATATTTGAAGAACATCCACATAGTTTATCGTTAGTTTCAGTAGTGCCAGCCTTATTTGCCATTTATTCGTGGGTAAGGGCCGCCGCAAACGCTCCAAGACATGTACCGACTTGGTACATATTCCTGGATCTAGACCTAGACGTAGACGCATGCAATGCACTGAACAGGGATGACCCCAGATTCCGAGAGAGGGAAAAACACAGGAGGCCTACGAAACCGAACCAGAGACCACCCCTGAGATTTAAATTCATCTCATTTTCAGATTCACTGAGGAACAAAACTTGCTCGCGACATAAAGTCACTCGTCTCCGATTAGTTTTTGGGGACCCCATGCAAAAATTCAGTTAGGAAAGCCATAAAAAAAGTAAACATCAGATTAGAAAGTAAAAGCACCTAAAGGCTGACTTTCGACCAAGAGGTCAGATGTCAATCTTGCTGAAGTGCCCATTAGTAAGTTGAGGACCGCTCCGGGACGTTCTGCACACAGAAACCGTGTGGAGATTTCAACTCAGGGCACTCAACGCGGGAGTGGGCATGGGGGGAGCGTGCCACCTTTTCGCGAGTATCCCTTTGTCGGACTTCTAAACCGCTCCTGTGGTAAGAGCATCTTGAATATCACCTCTTGATTAGACCAGTTCAAACCTACTAGATATCTTCAAATGCTCGTAATGCACTCTAAGAACCGTCTCCGAAATCCATAATTCCCTGCTATCGCGTGCTTAATGAGGAATCCATCAAGGCGCCGATGAATAATTCATTCAATAACGTGATCATTTCCGGTGTATTAGTCAGGTAATTCCTCGGAATAAACGGACTATAATCGTAATTAGCATGCCAACATCGAATTCTCAACGCTGACCGTTCGAGATATTCTAGAAGGCGGATACGTTTAGATTAGGTCACCGTTTGAAAGAGTAAAAGGTGTAGAATGCGACGGTTTTGCATATATATCTCTCGTCTCACTAAGCTATCGGTTTGTCTTCGTTTACGAGCCCGCGACGACCACGAAAAACAGTCTCGTCGAGGTCGTTTTTGAATGCGAATGGCATCATTTCGACTGAAGTAGTTTAACAAAGTTTGTTTTATTTACGAATGTTTGATATTGACACTGTTGCCGCAACCCTTCGGAAATGAGTACTAAAGGGTGAATGTAAAGAGTACTAGATCGAATAAAAAGTGCTACAGAAGCGAATCCGTGTATAATTTATATATTCCGTATACATCCTCCCTTTCCAATGATGTAGTTACAGTTTTTTGTGTATTTTATATCTCAATTTGACAAACATAACAAATAATTGAGTAACAAGATGCGAATACCAAAGACAGGTGACAATTGACAGGAAAATGTCAAAGTAATCAGTTTTGTTTAGTAAATAAAAATGACCATGTACGAATGATTTCATGTCGGAGATACCAGATATGTCTGGTGTAACAAATGGTAGCAATCTGATATTGCCAGTTAAACTTATTGTTAGTATGTCTAAATAAACTACTCAAACTGAATATAAAGACACATCTTTAAAATACAATAAGTAAAAACATATGTATTATTTCATGATAAAAACTTCTGGTGTGTACTCCATACTAATTCTTATCATGTTCCATTCGGTTGTTGTTTACTTTTTTACTTCTTTTTGTACTTTTAGCTACAAAATCATTAATATGAAAAATTCTGTATTTCGTTTCACTTTACTTTAGTTCGTGATAGTTATTAAATTTTAAAATTTAAACAATGAATGTTGATGTATTGGGTGAAATGAGGATACGTAGGGTGTACCTCAATGAATTTCAAGTTGCTAGAGCAGTGGCATTGATCGAAGTAGGGTACTCAAGGCGTCGTGTAGCCCAAATGCTTAATGTGAGTCTGCGGTTTCCAGAGCTTGGAATCGCTACCAAATTTACGGCATAGTAAAAAGAGCCCCCAATCCCAATCGACAAAGGGCAACAACCCGCAGAGAAGATCGTCGAGGAAATCGTAGAAACTTTTGTCAAGAGCATCGTAATTGGAATTTAGAGCAGTAGGCCAATGTAATGTTTACAGATGAAAAAAAATTCATGTTATTCAACAATGACGGACGTGTTCGAGTATGTAGACGTCCCGGTGAACGCTATTTGGATGACTGTGTACAAGAAATTGTTCCATTTGGAGGTGGATCGATAATGGTATGGGCTGGTATTGGAACCTCATGTGTCCCATTTGCCCAAAATATGGGCGCTGGGTTCATTTTACAACAAGACTAGGCCACACGTAGCCAGGGTCGTGAGAAATTTCCTACAGAAGCACAATATTAATGTCATGAGATGGCCAGCTAATACTCCGAATTTAAATCCTATTGAGCAGCTCTGGGGTAAACTGGAAAGACGTTTGAAGGATCATCAACCCTTCCAAAATCTGAACCAAGTTGCAGATGCTCTTTTGACGATTTACGAGCAGTTACCACAACAAATAATTAGAAATTTGGTGGAAAGCATGCCTCGTCATTGTGCCCAACTTCTTAGAGCCAGGGGTGGACGTACTCACTATTAATGTACATTTTTTTAAATTTTTTTCTGAAATAAATTTTATTTGTTTTTGACACTCATTTGTATTTCTTTTTAATCGTATTACCAAACAGCATTTTGAAAACAATGTAAGTTAAATTTAATAAAGGCATCTATAAACTATTTTATAAATATAAATGTTTGACAAAATAATACATATTTTTTTACTTATTGCATTTCAAGGACATGTATTTATATTTATTTTGAGTAGTTTATTTTGAATTCAATAATAAATTATAAAACAACAAAGAAGGCCTCGTGAAAGCTAATCCACTAAGGCCCCTTTTCGCTAAATTTTTCATGAACGACTTCGAAAAAACTCTTAGATTGAACCAATATACATATAAATCGGTTCAAAAAATATGTGGGATAACCTTGGGATATAACAGCTTTATCGAGCAGTCGTTCAAAATATCCATCTGTTTGGGTTTTTATGTAAATTCTTTTTCATTCATTTTATTTTTACTTTTATATATTATCAAAATGCTCTCATCTCTCGAAACGCAAGTTTATTGCCGAAAAACATGAATATTCAGAACGACACCACTTGTGATGTTTCGAGTAGGTACTCATTGTTAACACTTTTGTGGATTGAAACAAGGAATTCGGGCACAAGTGGTTGACCCTTCTCGACTATATTTATGACCCCGACCATTTGTCAGTGATGATTTTTCGAGAGTTACTTCGAACAGATTTTTTAGCATTCTGTTCTGGGACTTAGGCCGAGAACAATTTCTTATTCAGGGGTTTCCGTCGAGAACTGAACCCGCTCTACAGTCTCCTCGCTGATCGAGAAAAGACTAAGCGTTAGTTCCTCGAGATTACCCTGCAACTTTATGTTTCGTGTTATATTTGTCGCTGTGTTTTGTTGTTGATAAATTTTGTTGTTGATAAACGCTGTCCCGACATATCCGCTATATTGCGCTACATGGCGACCGTAAATGGGCGAAGCGCGCGGTACGTTGCCCGAACAGAACACCCATTTTGATAAAACAATTTCATTATTTGCACGTGTTGTTGAATCCAATGAAATTATATACATGTGTGAAAAACCATAATTTCTGAATAATGAAATAAGAACACATGGGAAAGTTAATTCTAAAGGTACCTTTGAACAAATATCAACAATACAGCAGGTTTCAAGAAGTGGTGGCGCTAATACAATGCGGAACGGGTTGTATTTCGACTAAGCCACCAGTTCGATAGCTAACCAGATCTGGTGGCCTCCATTGTTGAAATTCTTCCCGTTGATGAGGGCGGACAGAGTAAAGGTGGCACCTTCACGTAAACGTTGTTGGTATCCCAAACCGATCTGGCTGGAATTGTTGATTTTAGCACGAAGAGCTGCATCCTGATCAAGGTCGTACTTGGCACCAATGCCGAATTTGGTGTTGTTGCTGCCTGCGGATCATGCCAACTGAATACCGTGGTCCAGTTTGGGACTGATTTTCCGATAGATGGAACCGCCAAATTCTTGGCCGTACTCAATCCCAAAGCAAAATTGCTTTTAGTTTGAATTGAAGGTTTTTAGACACCTTAAGACCTTTCAAGAGTTGATCTTGCACAGCAATTTCAGTACCCAGAGTATTATCGGTGTTCCACTTTTCTGTGAACGATAGTCCACAGTCTTTGACTTTGTATTTGGTTTGTAAGGAACCAGACACCTTTCCAGATTCTTGGTTGGAAGTACCAACGGTGTTGACTTCCACTCCGCCGCAGTTTTTGGTTTTGCAGTCCAGTTTGATGAGACCATAGTGGCAGCCCTTGTTGAAGACATCTTTGGCCCTTTTGCCAAAATCGGAGTATGGTGGTGGAGACATTTCCTACTTGATGAAAATGAGTTTACGAGAATATACTATTGCACGAAGTACTACGACTTGTTTCTAACAGGTTAACTATATCTGACAAGAAAGAACGCAAATTTTCCGGAGTTTTAACAAACCACACTACCAACAAAACCAGATCTACAATAGTTTCTTCAGGCGTGTCTATACTTTAATGATCCAGAGACAAAGGCTGAAAAAATTCAGGTCGGCAAAGCACCAATAAGATTTTTATTTTTCAATCAGTGTCGGGATTGGCAAACTATGTCGGCATTTTTCCAAATTCCCATCATACACGAAGTAGGCAATTACGTTTTGGACCCGACTGTCAACTTTCACGTTTCAATTCCGATATCTGCGATCGGGATCTTCGGCGTAGAACACGGCCCATAATTCAAACGACCCACCGTTGGCGACGTGGATTTTGTGGAACGGCCTCTCTCTGAAGTCGGATCGGACCGACCGACCGGGGTCATGGGAAGCATCCTCGGCCTTCTCGCGTTGTACCTGCACATAATCCACTTTATGCAAACAGGTCTCATTCCAGCGCCAGAGAGCAGTGGCTTACGAATGCGTGGGGAAAAATATGTTTCAATCAATAAATATATCAAGTAGTTTTTTGAGTCGTGCATTTTTCACTAGATGGTGATTCATATTTTCAGCTGAAATATTGTTCCGGATAGGTATATATAATTTATAAAGACCTACTACAAATAGTTATATGCCCAACTAATTGTTGTCGGCGGCTTCGCCGGCGTAGAATTTGGTTTGTCACATTAACTTTCGTCACAGACTATTTTAAACAAATAGCTACAATATTCTTTTATTAACCCAAAACTTCAGGTTTTTAACTTCAAAACACCAAGTTATTTATATAGTTTATTAAGCAGGCATTCTGACATACATATGGTCAATTTGAGAATTAATCATTCAACATACCTAGGCACCGTACTTCCAAATTTCAAAGATTTTTTTCTTATATAGCCCCTTCTTATCTTACTGCTCAGTGCTAATTTAAAAAATTTAAAATTCAATGTATGGAAGCGCAATGAAATTGTTAAATTGACCAAAATTATGTTAAGATTATTAGGAGTTATTAGCAACTATATGATCTATTATTTTTTCTCTTCCCTATCATTGTTACGATAGTAAATAAGTATTTTTTTTCACTACTAACCTGAGAAATTGCTATTATTCACTCCATTCCCCTAACGAGAATTAATATTTCTCACCCTTGGTAAATAATGATAATAAAAAACACCTAGGTAAATAATGAGAACAATTCTATAATTTTAACTTCAGGCGGGGTACACATCACCTCTAAATCATCGTCACTTGAATTTTCACCCATTTTCAAATAATTATATTGACGTTTTACTTATAAAGATCTTTTAACTTATTCAAAATGACATCTAAATTTGAATTAAAACCGCATTTGGCAAACTGACAGCAATAATAATCATTGTACAGTGTTAAGTTGTCATGGAAACGCCGGCAAACGTTTTCATGGCCTAAGTAGATGTTGCGCGCTTATCATCGACATCGCGTATTCAACATGGAAACTGTACCGTTTTAATTTGACATGTAACAATTCATAGCTGCCTTGGGTAATCATATAACCAAGGAAATTTTTTTCTCACTATAATGCAGAATTGAGAAATTCTAAGTTCTGAACATACAATTTATTAGTTCTTACAGGTATTTCAAATCATTTTATATAATATCAGACAATGGAAATCCGAACTAATGAGAATCAAATAAACATTGTATTAGTTTTAGCAAGCATTTTTGATTAAATAACCAAACGCACGCTACTGCGGGTATAAAACGCTTTAAACGGCCAAAAAATCTCACAAACAATATTACTTGAATCGGCATCTTAGAATAGAATAGAATAGAAAGTTATTTGTACTGAACACCAAACAGAATGGTTTCCACTTACATGATGCACAGTTTTTTAAAAGTTCCTTACATATAGTATTCATTGAGTACCAATGATACAGTTAAAATCGATATAAAATAAATATAACAATATAAAACAATAAATAATAAAATGACCGTAAAAAGATTCAGACACATTTGAGCCTTCGAAGAAGTTGTTCCTCCATAATACTGAACATTGTGTTTTCTGAAAAAGTGTGTTCTTAATAATCGTTTCTGAACTTTTTCTATAGTATCAGAATATAAAAAGGTCTTTGGATTCCAAATGACACAACCATATTCCAGCTTAGAACGAACAATGGAGTTAAAGAGTGACAAACAAGGATCGTGATTGAATTCACGGCTAGATCTTAAGACAAAGCTCATTTTTCTATAACATTCAGATATTATCTACTGATGATGCTAACTTGGATAGCAAAACGCGCGTCGAGAGACATAATTTTTGGTCGAGTGGGAAAAAAAGTGTTTTCTATAGAATAATTCATTGAGATCTAAAATATATTATTATCATTATTGAAACTGAATAACTTTTATCACAAAAATTACTGAAATAATAAGAAAGTTGATTTTCAAAAAAGAATAAAAATATAATGCTCGTGTGAAGCGATAATGTTTCCGACACCTCTACAACAAAACAGGATGCATCGGGAACTGCAGCCGAAAATTATTTATAAATGGGCAACATAAGTTCCCGGCTCGGCACGAATAGGAAGAAACCATCTGTTTATTTTAATCGCAGCTGGATAAAAATAAATACTTTCCTAATTACCGCAATAAAATTGAGGTGCTATAAAAACAAAATATATTCAACGCCTTGACTTCTAAAAAGTTTATGTCTTTGTAGAGTTGTGTCATGAATAGTTGTTCGAAATGAACTTTTATGTTAAATTGAATGTTTATTCAAGTTTGCGATTTATTTATTGAAGACTTCAATAAAATATCGAACATTTTTACGTGCTCTGTATGATTAGATGAGATGAGAAATATTAATTGTTCATGATGTTCTTAAAGAAGTAGCAAAGTTTTAGAAGTAAAAAACTAATACCGCGCCACAATTTCTTCCCAATCGGAGAGATGGAACTCTCCTTCCTTATTTAAGAAACATTAATGGCTTGTTTGAACGTGGTGCATTTCATTAGTTCAGACTTCCATTGTCTAATATGATATAAATTGAATCAAAACCCCTAAACGAATCTATAAAAAATAAAAAATAACAATTATATCAAGCAAAAAACTGAAATTACAAGTAAATAAAAATACAAGCAACAATTAAAAATTGAACTGTTAACAAGAAATTAAAATTTAAAATTATTAAAAAGAAATGAAAATTAAAAGATTCCAAGCCAAGTTACTTCACGTTTCCATTGTTGGTATCCACATTCGTCTTCGGGTGATGACTGGACTTATTCCTCCGAGAGCTGACTATTATAGGTCATTCGAAAACAGGATAACTATGAAGCCACCAACGTCATCAACATGAGTTTCCGCCCGCTCACGGACATAGAGGAATCCTTGTTGAGGAAAGGTCTAAACTTCGCCATTGCACCAACGTCTGTGCCCACTTTGGAAATAATAACTGCAGTTGAATCCACCAGTTCCCTCAGTGATCAGATCGAGGCAGAATAATTCAGATGGAAAAACAGAGAACAGCTAGATCGAGAACCTGTTCCAACATCTAACATCAGCAATGAAGAACGAAGAGCTCTGAACGGTCTACGTAGAGATAACACCATCAAGATCTTACCTGCAGGTAAGGGAAACGCTATGTGATGGATACTGATCGATACTGATGGATACACGAAGTTCGTAAGGGACCCTACTGCATTAATTGAAAGGAAGTTTACCAGACTTGGAAAAACACCAAGTCTATTTTTCGGAAGAAGAGAGATCATCGCTAACACCGCACCACAGTAAGCCCCTTCACTTGTATGGACTACCCACAATCCACAATACACTTTTAATGAAACGCATGATTTAAAAAAACACAGCTCACATTTTCTTTTGAAATTCCGATAACCACAGCTACTACACAAGACAAGATCCCATATCACAAAACATCATTTTTGAAAATGCATCATCATATTAAGCAATCCGGTTCTATAATAAGCTGCCCAGAGTGCCCAACGAATTCAAAAATGAATTAAGTAAATTTCTAGTTAACAAATACTACTATCATGTGAAATAATTTTTTAATGAATGATCATAAATTTACATAATTTACAATAGACTTCGTGGTTCACGCATCTAACTTTATTTAAATGTCCATTTTATTTATACAGTAAACGAATATGTATTATTACCTGTGAATACAACTAATATTCATCACTAAAGAAAAAAATCCAGTTGTCACAATGTTTTATGCTCAACAATTTTTTTAGCTGATCTCACTATTGCTATGTCAGAAACGATAAGACCTACATGGTCGGTTAAATTGGAAAAAGTTTCCTATTTTGGGAAACTAGAGACATCTCTTTTCAGATCGAGAATATCACTGGTTGTTTTTGAAATATTCAGAAATATTAAAATTCATTGAGGCCGGCGAGGGCACGGTGGGTATTTTTTGTGATCTTAGTCGGGCCTTCGACTGTGTCGATCATACAAAGCTACTAGAGAAACTGCATTCTTACGGATTGAGGGTTTTTATTCTAGATTGGGTAGCATCAATTTTGAGAAATCATGTGCAATAGTGCAATATGTGAGCATAAAGTATAAAAATCATAATAAAGTAGGAAATGTATCGTCTTCAAACTCAGAAGTCAATGTAGGTGTCCCACAAGGCTCTATTTCAGGCCCTATGTTATTTCTTCTCTATATCAATGAAATCGGTAACATATTTCCTAGGATACAATTTACATTATATACTGATGATATATCATTGATTATTTCTAACGAATCTAACATTTTACAAAATGAATGCGAATCTATATTACAGTCTTTGATGAAGTGGTTTTGGTCAAATAAATTTTCATTCAATCCAGACAAAACAACTATCGTAAAATTTCAGACAGCCCAACAACACAGTGAAGACTTCAAAATTGAACTATCTAGTCAAAAAATCTTAGTATTGAACTAGACAAAAATCTTAAGTTCAAAACACATTTCGAATTATTAATCTAACCTTAATTCATTATATTACTTGATCTATAATTTGAAGACTATTCAAACCCATAAACAGTTAATGAAATTCTACCATGCACAGGTGGAATCTTGATTGAGATATGGGATTCATACATTCATACTCCATAATTCTAGAAACACATTCATTGCACAAAAAAAATCGTAAGGTGCTTAGCAGGAAAATCAAGACAACAGTTTTGCAGAGATCTTTTCAAAAAACTGAACATTTTAATTCTGATTGGATTAATTATTTTTGAGATATGTTTGTTTGTCTATGGAAATAGGAAAGGAATCCCGAAGAATTATAACACACATAACATCAGTACGAGACAAAAGAACCACTTGCTTATTATACCTTTTGCCAGATTGAATATTACCAGTTCTTCGCCAAGGGCCAAGGTTATTCAACAAATTACTTGAGTCAGTAAGAAATTGTACTAGGGAATAGAATTTGATAAAGAGCTCAAAATATTTTTATTGGACAAAGTATTTTATACCGTTACCAACTTTTTGCGTACGTGATTTACTTATTTGTAATATATGTATACTCATTAATTTGTAAGTGTAGTAGTTGTGTTACTATCCCTATACAAAGTATGTTGTCAATTATGGTAAATAAATGATTGATTGATTGATTGAACAAGAATTATCGAATTTCGTTTTTGGCTCTAACGCCTCCAACTCGAGTGATATAAAAAGGCAGAGGAGCTCTTAATACTGTTTCACATATGTTATAATCTGCAATGCACGGTTTCGTCGATTAGATTTCATCATCTATTTTTTCAAATAAGGATCTCTAGTTTTTTCATCGATTTTTGTAACCACTGTACTAACAAATTCACAAACACAATACAAGTGTTTCCCCAAAAAATTCTCTCATGACTGTGGTGTCAAACAAATCCCAGATAGAGCTACCTCAATGAAGTAGGTACTAATATATTTTGGGTCTAGAACTCAAAGCTATACATGAATTCCATATATCGGAAAAACATGTAATATACCAAGTAACCAAAAGGAAAAAATTAATGTCAAAATACTCCTACCTATCTAAGTCGTTCACGATATCTCATTAAATGTTCAAATTGCCACCTATCACTCCCTAAACACTTATTCATTCTTGCAATAGTATTCATCTTCCAAATAATACAAAAGAACTAAATAGTGCCATAAGATTCAAAAAAGGAGTTAAAATTTTTTTGATAGAAAATTAAAATATTTTCAATATATTCTAAGTAAACAATAATCTCCCAATTACTAAGCCTCACAAAAACACCCATAGGTTGTAAACTATACGCCTGTTTTAAACAGGATCATTATTCTATCAATTGTTCCACTCCTGCCATACCCAAGCATTATAAAAACAAAATATAACTTTCACAAGACAAACATTAAGTTGCCTAAATGAAACTATCACTGACGCCTGTCGGATATAATCCAACGCCCTTCGTGGTATTATCCCGGGGAGTAGTTGTTTTCTGATAGGCGTCAGTCCATTTAACCTACTGTGTAGGTATATTCGAGACTGGCTTGAACGTTTAAAGTTAAGTTTTGACATTAGAATACTATACTTTTTCTATGACTAATAACAGGAATATTTTGAAATACGATCAATTTGTAAAGGAAATGCTGAATGAGAGAAATACTATTAAGTTCGTTAACAAGAAGCAACCTAAAAAGTATTCATTAATATTTCCTATTTTTGTTATTTATATTCAATTTCGAATAGTTTGGGAATTGAGTAAAAAAAAAGAAAGAAATTAACTGACTTGAAGCCAAGATTGAACACAGGACCACTGGTTTATTTACTCAAGACTTACTCGCGATTGAAAATAATTGAAACACATCTATAAACTCAATTTGACTACTTGAACAAATGGTCACGTAACTGATGTTTCTCTCAATTATATAATTATATTTTTTGAAAATACAATTATAATTTTAAGTTGATAAAAACAGAACTACAACTATAATTCATGATTCTTCACAACTTTCATACAAGCACTAATCTATTTTTTAACTTACCTTTATGTTCTCATTTCATCTTGTAATTCCTGCTAATCCCTGGAAAGATTCCTTTCTGCAAAAAAATATATGGTGTAAGTGATGACTCGGAAAAGTACACGAAATAAAAAATAACATTGTACAGAAAAACTCTAAACAATAAAATAATATGTTCAATATCATGATTATCACAATTAACCAATCTATAGGACAAATAACAATATTTTTAGATTAATTTCCAAACACTCGAACAATTTGAATATTAGAAAATTGATTTACGATTTTTTATTCAAACTTTCCTCTCAAGTGAACGAAGATAAATGTTGAAAGGGATTCAGCCAAAGGCAATGAATGTATCCTTCGAACGTCTTTAATAAGAAACCATAAAGTTATAGAAATGATTTATTCAACTCATTCTTGTTCAGATTTAACTGAATGCGCACCATTGGAATGTGGATGTCAGCACTCCTTTTTGATTTAAAATTGATAATTGATAAATATCGTCGTTTTGATTAAACAAATTCTTTGGCTATTGAAAGAATTTATAAGGATTTTCAGAGAAACTGGCAGGTACAAAATGATATATAAACATTGAATTACAGGAAAGAAAAATTCTTTCGATAGAAATACTTTTATATGAACACTGATTATACAAAAAAAAACACTTTTCTCTACTCAGTTTGCATTCCAAACATTCGTTATGAAACCGAATCAGATATCATTCGCAGGATTTCTACACAATATACTAAATGAAAGGTTAAAATTTCACTTAAATGGAACATTCTCATCCTCATTGGTAGACATCGATGTTTCGTATATCAATATATTTGTACAGCTAGGCAAATCTAGCTGTGTGTCTGAATATTGGATGCGCAGTAGATCAGCCGGGGGGTGAGGCGAGAGCTCACCAACATCGAAGAACTCGTGTAGAAACATCGTGTTATTACAGTAAGTGGAGAAACTATTCTGTGTGGTGAACTGTGAGTTATTTTTTGTCTTTGAAACTGCCTTCGAACAGTAAACTGAAAAACAAGATTCTAAGTGGACAAATCAGAGAAATTGTGAACAACGTATCAATATTTATGCAAGCGAAAGCAGCGGCAGATGGAATAAGAATTCCTCTTGCGAAGGTAGCAAGCGACAGTAATAATAAGTTAAATTGTAACCAATGTTTGATTTTAACTAACGAATAGCTGAGGCCACAGGAGTTATCGTGCCAACTGTACGAAAAGTCAAATCAGAGATGAAAGAAAATGGAAAATGATGAGGAAAAAATGAAAAGAGATGTATCAAAAATTCCAAAATGGTGATGGATTACGATGATTTGGGGATTTTACGCTGTACTGGTGGACTGATGGTTCGAGAATGTTTACGCCTAACATGCCTGGAAAAAAAAAGGATCGCGACTAATCATTGTGCATTGCGGGGGAAGTAAAGGATGGGTTCCGAATTCTTTGAAATTATGTGGAAAAAAACTCGAGAACTGCAATGTCGATTATCATAAGAACATGGAAGCTAATATTTTTGAGGAACGGTTTGAAAACACATTGATCCCAAATTTGGATGCGAATAGTGTAATAGTTCTTGACAACGCTTCCTATCATTCGCGACAGCTCATCAAAGTACCGAACAAAAATTCGAGGAAAGATTAAATACAAAGTTTTTTAATGGATAACAATTTGTACTTTGAAGATAACTATACAAAAAACCAACTACTTGAAGTTTTACAGACGGAAAATTGAAACAAAGCACCAGGCGTAAAAATAATTCTCCAAAATTTGGTAAGAAGTTAAAGAAGAAGTTCCTAATATTACTGAAGAAGACTGGCAGAGAAGGATTAAAAAAGTAATTTTAGTTGAAAGAGACTACATGGAGATTGGACACTTCCGTATTAATGGTGGAAATAATTCATTATTGATTTAAATGACGACAGTGATAGTGAAACAGAGAATATGGAAGAGGAATTATCAGAAGCTTTCGAAGAAAGTTAGTGACGTGTTAATGAGTCTGTCGAAAGCGCTCGCATATAGTAAATAGAAGTAATAAAGCTTCAAATCCGTTCAGTGACATATGTATATATATATATATATATATATATATATATATATATATATATATATATATATATATATATATATATATATATA